GGGAGGGACCGAAAGAGAGAGACGGCCCTTCCATACACCTGTCCAAAGGGCGACGCTCTCCCCGAGTCCTCCTACGATACACTTATGCCGGCGACGGGGCGGGCGAGGTTACCCGAGGAGAGGCGGGAAGGAGGGAGGGGAGGGGATGGACACGAATACAAAACTCTGCTGGGGGAATGGGGGGATACGAGTGGGCAAGGCGGTGAAGCGCGTCCGTTGACATTTGGAGAGTACCTCAGCATAGCTCAAAGTGAAAGGAAAGGGGATGGATTTATTGAAGCTGAACGCCTCATCCCTAGATATTTTTCTCTTTAAAAAAATCTCGTGTTTTGGAGGTGAGAATTCTTGAATTTAGAGCGCATGTGTGGAACAGTAAAAGCAAGAGGCAATGAATAGAAAAGCTGCTGCTCAACGATGGTGGATGAGCGTTTGTAGAGATTTTGTACGAGACAAGATTGCTTAATTCTACAATTTCAGTAAGCGTGGACATTTTTTTGCTATACCTAAACAATGCTGGGAGCAGGAGCCGACATAAGTATCATTTAACACCCTATTAAGAGGCTTTTAATTTTCATAGCTTGGATTGGAAGCACATTTGTGAATCTTCCGAGCATGCTCAAGCCTCTTCTTTGCTGTCCAACCTTCTTGAATTCCTTTCGCTGGAGCTAATCTCAACAGTTGATGGCACAGAGTAGCATAGTCTTGAAGGGTGTAGAGATCGCAGAAAATCTTACGAAGGAGAAGGTATGAGTAAGGCAGTTTCTTCACGGACACCTGTACGCAAGAGGTGAGGGGTTCAACGCGAAAAACTATCCTTGACGCGTACCTTGCGCTTACAAAAGACGAGGACGAGGAGGAAGAATAGGAGGAAGAGGTTTGGTAATTGGAGGTTTGAGGGCTGCAAAGAGGGAATTACCTTTGACGTACTCAATGTCACTGCATCGTTGAAAGGATACGAAAACACAAGGCATGACGAGGTAAGTATAAAGATATCGTCATAATATGAAACACGTGTCATATCACCTACCAAGTTGAATGACACAAGCACAGATCTTCGACCCCTGGAAATGTATGATCCACGGTGAAAAAGAAATTGGGTTTGAGCTTCGCCTCGTAGTAGCATTTTATCCAGCAAGCTTGCTCGGTCTCGCCGGGACGAAGCGTATAGAAGGAAACCGGAGTCTCTTTGCATTTAAGATTCGAGGGATAGCGTTTAAGTGACTCTTCAGTCGGCACAAGAGGTCCCCAAAGACTGACATCATCGAGAAGCGCCGCGCATTTAGGGAAGTCCTGCTTGAGACCGAAATTCGGAATCGCTCCAAACACAGCAGCAAAATCGGCGTCAAATTTCCATATATTCTCAGGGAATTTAGGGAAAAGATATTTCATAACGCTTAAGCAATCGTCTGTGATATAACTGTCTCCAGTGGGATCTTCATCATAAGCTGTGATGCCTCCGTATGGTATCCATCCAAACGGCCAAATATGTTTGGGATTTGTATAAACACAATAGGAGTACAAATTACGACTGCCGAATTCTTCCAGCACAACGTATTTGCCTTCCTCATTCAAGCTTTCGAAATATCGCTCCCAAAGCTCTCTATCTATCATCAAGGCAAACTTGTAATCGCATGTCTTCCTAGAGCAAGTTTGAGAGAATGGCCATCCGGCTGCTCCTGAGCTGCATTCCGTGTCGAGCGTTTGCATGACTTTTGATAGAAACAACGCACGGCCTTGGGTATCGAAGGTTTTGGTGAGCAAATTGTCCATTGCACCTTTCCATTTGCATTTCTCGTTGACCACATTCTGATCATACTTTCCGGGGTTGCAATACGAGTAAGTCTGTATAATCAGAATGCTTTGGGAAGCAAAGCTTGTCAACGTCGCTGCCATGTCGAGGTATGCCTTAGCGAAAGCATCGAGGGACTCCCATTTACGTCTACCGTCATCAAGCTTTTTTTTACAATAATCTAACCGGCTTTTGCCATCCTTAATGAAGTCAACCGATATCGACGCGCACATGCCTTCGGATTCCGAAATCCATGAGTTGACCGTGTGTCGGCTTCCGTAGGTGTTGCGGCCCAACTCAGTTGCATACTTCTCTTCAATTTTCATCAGAGCGGGCTCATACGTCGACGTCCATGATGGAGAGAATGCTTCATGATACCAGCTTTCAACCTGTCAATGTCGTTCCGTGTGGTATAAGAAAACCGTTGAGGACGAAATCACATTAATAGGCTCGAAGTTAGATGTCCGAGAGGGCAGGTAAGAGGAAAAGAACGCTAATATGTATTTTGTATCCAAAGCCAATCTTTGCATCAGATGATCTTACCTCCTGGTCTACAGATGCTTGGCCGTCTGTTCCCATCTTTTTCATTATATAACCGATGCTTCCAGAATGCCTCATGAAGTTGTCAAGGTCCATTTGCCAAAAATCTTTGAAGAGCGTCGTCAGATCGGTGTCTAAGGTAAGAGAGAAGGTTTGGAACTTTATATTCACGACCTCTTGTATGGCTGACGGAAAAAGACCTGTGGTCGAAGTCATTCTTAAATCGTAGGCCAAACTAGATAAGAGGTATCCGATGGACGATACCAACGAGACACCCATGCCCATCGGAGAGAATGCGGCCCCTATCACAGGTGCTGTCGTCAGCAACACGTTAGATACGCTATCTGAGAGCGCGCGTTTATCACAGCCATTTGAGCTATCTTTGCATTCTCTGATTAGATTCACTGTTGCACGGAGCGTATCCGCAGCACTCCTCAAGGACGCACTTGAATCAGGATCACCTTGGATCTTTCTTTCACTATCTTTGACCTGCCACACTCTAGTAAATGTGTCCAGCATGCCCTGATTCGTGCTTGATACTTGGGCTCCGCTTGGACCTTGCTCAATGGCATTGGCAGACCTTTCGAGGTCCCTCAGAACTTGGTCGACGGACTTCAGCGCGGCCACGTAGCTATCAGTAGAGCTCACATTACGGTCTAACTCATCAACTGCAGGGTCAATGAAGATGGAGCAATGCTCGAACGTAATCGACGCGTTCCCCATGGGATCGACGCCCCGAAAGAAATTAGACAGCGGGGAGGTCTCTGCCTGATCAGATGACTGACCAAGCTCGTAGATGACAAGTGATGAGTTGTCCTCCTGGATTCTGATTTGATGTGATGACAGTACAACGGATATGAGTGGCCCTTCAAATGATTTCTCGGACTCGTTCTGATAGACGTTAAATGTGAAGGCCGCGTTGGGCTTTTCGATGGGAAAGAACTCATCAAAGAGGTATCCGACAAAATAGCTCGTTGGCCAGACAGTTGCATACTGTGAGGGCATCTCTGCAAAAACGTAGGTATCAGGATCCATATCTACAGTGCGAAGGTGATATCGTCCTGCTGCCATTTCCAAAGTGCAGTGTTGCGCCATTTGGATGAATAAAAGTCTGGGGGCCTCCAAGGCGGCCTGAGTCTCCTGTAGGCTTGCCTCACACTTTTGGAGCTGTTTTTTGAGCTTTCTCTTGCTGACCCACTTTCTTTTTCGTGGTTTAAGAAGCAAATCACGCTTAGTGAAATGATCCTTACGTGTTACATTCATCGCCGTTTCTTCAGAGGCCGTCCCACTATAGTCAGGGGAGTTCTCAAGTTTGGCAAAATAGTCACGAAAAGAAGAGCCACGTTGATCTTGACAGCTTTTCCCACATCTCTCAGCGCTTGAACGTACGAATTCATCCAACCTGCTCGGGAGCCGAGGCTGTCCGCCAAGGCCCTGCGGTCGTTGTAGTACTGGAAGTCTGGCGGCTTGAGACTCCATTTGCATGGCGAAAAGAGCTAGTAGAATAAATGCTATTTTGGTGGATTGAGGTTTCATGCTTTGTGCTCTGCATGGAGATTGAGGAATGAACAGAACTGAGACATGATCGGGTAATGTTGGGGCACCTGAACACGAGACAGAACTCAGCTCGACCACAATTCCCGGCTACACGACCAGGATATAGTTTGCAATACAAACGCAAGATAAAGTCATTAGTGACCTTACAAGTTTCGCTCGATCTTTGTCCAAGGAAGTGACCCGACACATTTTCCATTACTCGTAGAAGAGGGCCATGGATGCGTTGAGCGAAAACCGAACCTTCTTCTAATTGACCATGTCTTCTATGACAAAGACTTTCTTACGACGCTCTTTACCAAAGGAAATACTGTACTTCTTGTTTTAAAGCCTCGAAAATAATGTCGGCTAGAGTTCCAGCAGGATGCATCAACATGAGCCACATCTAGCGTGAATCTGAGGAGCGGTTCTACTGTGGAGAAGGCGAGTTTTCCCGAGCGTTAGAACCTGAGTCTCTCTTGTCCAGACCAAAAATGTATTTTCCAAAACAATAAGCGATTTCTATGGAGGGTATGAATTACTCTTATCGCCTGTCGTGCCCTTCGTAGGCTTGCGAGTCAAAATTTAGTTCGATGCAGAACCGCAATTTGGGGACCCCGCCAGAACTCCGTCGTTCGGGCTCATTCGCTTGTGCTTTCCACCTCAGCACTGAGATATTCATTTTCAATGTTTTCAAATTCGTCCCTTCGGTGAAGCTCTGACAGTGCACAGGCTGCAACTTTTAAAGTCTGACAGTCCTCTGTGCAATTAGCGAGTCCGACTGCTCTCTGAAATAGATGTGTTGTCAATTTTTTACGAGGAACAAACTTTGAAGCTACCCATCAAGGCGTAGTTTCTGACGAGAAGCAGTGTCTTCGCCAGAGATGGGCTGAGTTGTGTTGCTCTGTCTCGAATATCAATCAGGGTGGTTAGAACGAGATTTTCGAACGCTTTTCGTGCGCATATCAGTCGTGGAAGTAAAAGTCATTCTTTGGGGCATAAAAAGTGTATATTGAGACTGTCTGTGTCCCGTCCTGCCATTTTTCGTCAAAGTGCGCACATGCACAAAATCTCTGATATCTCTCGGTCACGCTGACGGAAAGGATGTCAAAGCTCTGCGCACGCGTCAATAATAAGATTAGGATGAAAGGGAGGACATGCTGAAGTATGAAACGAAGAAGGTAAAGAGAGACCCTTTCGCCACCTTTTTAGATGCTCAACGACAAGTCACGGCGTAGCATCGTCTTCAAGAAAGCAAAACCCTGATTCGCCCCATTTATATTATTTATCCATCCAGAGTTGTGTCCCTATGCCTCTACCTTCATCCACGTCATTCCTATCCTTCGCACACTTTCATCGGGCAAAGATCGGTGCTGTCAATGCCCTCACCCGATGTCAAGCTGCGCACATTCTGGATTGCTTCTACTGCATCTTGTTTTGATCTATCGATCACAAGAAGTGTCGAGGCTTCGTTAATGATTAGGAGCTAACACTGAAGGGCTTCCGCTTACCCTCGTATGCCGGAGCGAGACATGGAGAGCGATGAGGCTTCTAGGCCTACAGCGCTCTTGCGGGATGCAGAATCTTGCCTACGAGTCGGAAGAGAAGATGCGGGGGTGAGGGTAGGCTGCTCAACGGTGAAGAGCGAGCATTTGTGCATTTTGGAAAAGGAAAAAATAGCTCATCGTGACAGATTTCGGGTAGCTTGCACACTACTTTGCCTGAAAAATGCTGGGATCAGGAACCGACGTATATATCATCAAACACTCCAGTATTGAGCTTTTTATTCGTCCATGCTGGGTTTTAAGCACATTTTGTGGATCTAAACGGCCTAACAGGGGGCATATTCAAGCCTCGCGCGTTGCTACCTCCCTTTAAACTTCTTCAACTGCCAATGGAAACGCCTCTGTGACAAGCTCACATACGACCGACATACCCCATGTTTTCGACTCGTGAACAGCCGCTGTGTGAACCTCGGCTGTGTATACAACTAAAGAAGCGATCTATCCAAGGAATGATCGGAGGGCTGCATTGGCAATAGGGCTGGTTTCGCTTGGACTCTCCTCGATTGTATCCCCCTACACTATCCCCTCTGTAAGATCTATCAAAAATATATTTGCCATGGTTCCCACCTGCTACCGGTTCTTCCCCCACTCCTGACTCCAGCGCCCATATATCACTCACAACGATGCATTCCTGCACTGCTATATATATACATTCCTGATCAGCGAGCGAACAAGCTCCCTTACACCCTTCGTACCCTGAATCCGATCCACATGCTTGGCCTGGGGCCAGTACGGTTGCATTGCTTACACAGCCCTCTGCTCGACCTCCCTGGGCATGCCCCGCGTTTAGCTGTCAGGACTAAGTATGCTGCTCTTGCCGTTGCCCTGGTCTGCATCGCTCTCATAGGGAGCACGCAATAGCTTCCCGTCCCCAGAGATCTGGTACTCGGCGAGTCCTAACAGCTCCTCTACTCCCTTCCTGACGCTGCGGTCTGGCAGCCGTTGGAGCAGAGAGGCCTCGTTGCGCAAGGCCTTTACAGCTGCGATTAGTTTCTTGTGGCTGTAAACGTCGCTGGTACATAATTTTCCCCATTTGCTAAAAAAGCACCCACACACTACAAAGAAAACTTTACAAAAAAAAAAT